TAGAGTGAAGTCAGCCATCGCCAGGCAGGGGGGCCTTGTGGATCTGCTCTGGTGAGTCCAGGCAGGCTTTTCTCTTCCTGGTGCCAGGGTTCCTTGTTTCTGGGTGCTTGTGGGCTGTAGAGCTGGGTTTTGTCTTGCATTGGGCAGAGTAAGCCTATGGAGAAATGGAGATGCGTCTTGCCTGTGGTACTCCAAAACTGCTCTTCTGCAGCAGGGACCAAAGTCTTTGCTTCTGCTGTGTGCGGGGGCACCAGGGCTTCATGCGGTGACTGCAGCTTGCACTGAGGTACCCTGGTTCTGACTTGACGTTGCTCAGCAAAGTGGGTTGAGCTTGGGAACTTCCTTTTTCAGGGACAGAGATCTTTGGAGCCTGGGAGGCAGAGGGACTCTGCAGGCAGTCTACTGTAGTGGTATCAGAGCAGCTCACACTTCTGACAGAACTGCCATGTGGAGCATAGTGCAGGGCCATGGGGGCAGGTTCTGGCAGAGCGAGGTGTGAAAGTAACTCCCCTTGGGGACAGTGGGTCTGCAATGAGCCCTGGCAACATGAGGCCCAAATGTAGCTGTCCGGGTGTTGCAGGAGTTCTGACCTGCTCTGAGCAGCCCCAGATGAAGTTTCAGAGAGTGCACGCCTGCAGCTCCTCATCCTCTGATGACATGACTCTCTCCCCAGGGATGGAGGACTGAAGAGGGAGAAGGTGAAAGACACATTCAAGGAGGAGCAACAGAAACTCTACAGCAAAATGATTGTAGGCAACCATGAAGACCGGAGCCGCTCCTGAGCCCTCTGCCTCCTGCACTGTTACTGGGCCTGGCCAGAGCCCTCTGCCTCCAGCACGAGCCAGGGCTTGTCTGAAACAGCTCTGAATCTTTGGACTTTGGCTACGCCAGAGCTGCTTGGACATGCTCCTTCATCCTCTGGCTGTTCTTTCCTGGAGGCGCTGTTACTGCCCAGAGTCCTTAGGCCCTGGGCAGCTCTTGGCAAAGATGCCTTCTTGTTACTGTCACAGTGAAGCCCCTTGCAGGGGCAATATTAAATGAAACACTTATGGTGTCATATGCTTCCATATGGTGTTTACAGGCCCAGGGGAAGGACTGGTGTGTTGGTGTGCATGTGTGTCAGTCACAAGTCTGCCACGGCACAGAAACTGGTGAGCTGCACTGAAATTAGCTGCCTTGACAACCAAGGGAGTCTTCATGAGCCTCTCACGGCTGCAGCATAAACCCCTTAGGAGCAGTGTGTGGTCTCTCAGGCCATTTCCAGCTTTACTTCCAGAAGGAGAAACCTTCCCTTTTACTTTTGCTGCCCTCCTGTCATAGCCTGACCCAGACCATGGCTTCTCCAGCATCTGAGTAACGGCCTCTTCGCTCGGGTTCTTCAGGTGGTGAGGATCATCCTCCTTGGAAGCCTCCCTCTGTCCCCTGGAACTGCACGTTGCCAGGCAGTTGTCACTGGTGTGGCAGATGGGGCTCTTGCGGAATCCGTGTGTGCTATGGTAGGAGCCCAGGGTGGGTAGGAGAGCCTGAGACTCCATGGCAGGGGCAGGAGATTCCCTTCCAGATGTCTCCTGAGGGAAACGGTGGGATCTGATCTCGTTCTGCACCAATATGCACATACATAATCTCGGCCTGTTGCAAGGAAGCTGAAACCTTGTGCTGGAGGTGGTTCACCTTTTCCTTTCAGCTCGGCAAGTATATTACTCACTAAAACAACTTGCGTTTGAGTCATCTCGTGTACTTTCCAATTTTCCTTGTGTTCCTACAGACTTCAGCACTTTCACTGGGTCCTTTGCCTGCTCTTTCACTGCTGCCTGCCGAAGCCTGCTTGCATTTTCTACAGCACTAGAGGCGGCAACGCTTACGCGCCTCCTCTGTACCCCAAAGGGGTGGGTGGGGGCATCTACTATCCCCCAGGTCAGGACAGTGATTCTGCGGAAGTGGCCTTAAATTTGAATTTTCCTGCACTAGCTACCAACACAGGTTCAAGGTCGTTTACTTCCTGCGTGTTTTCTATTTGGGTGAAACACCACTATGTCAGGAAAGAGAGAAAAAAGAAAGCAACAGCGAGACACAGAATCCAGAAACTCCCCCAGCCTTTCCCGAAAGACAAAATGTGCGTACCCTCACTTGGGTTATTCAGTTCTGTGCAGCCTTCCTGCTTCACCTTGTTTGGGGCTTCAAACCCCTTCTTTTGGGTCAGTCAGTGTGCAAGCAGCGTATGCACAACCTGTCCTCATCGCGGAGGAACCCCATGCTCCACGGTGTGCTATTTTCCATCTGGCCCGGGACCATCAACTGACGCACAAATAAATGAAACTGCTCCCAGCACACCACCTGAGAGGGGCCAGGCTCCTTACAGTGATGCAAAGCTAGGCTTGAGACCATGTCGTCTGCTAACATACAGTTATGGGAAATATTTCTACACTGAATTGATTTACCTTTGCTTCTTGTAGTGCTCAAAATGTGATCCTTTAATAAATATACACAGTGAGACGCATTTCCTACACAAACACTGCATTCAGTTACCAGTGACACGTGCTCACCATGAATGTCCAGCCCTGCCAAGAGAAACCGGGCTGGTCCTGTTCGGTGATGGGGACACCCTTATAGGCCCATGCTTGCACTGGTACCCCAATTTCTTACTCTTCTGCCCAAGTTCAGGTATGGCAATTGATCGGGGGGGGAGAGCAAAAGCAGCAAAGCCTGGTATCTTCTCCTTTCCGCCCAAGATGATAACAAAACAAAAGCAGCTGAAGCCAAGCAGGGCAGGGTTGAAGTGTGTTGCTTGCGCTCCTGTGCTACCAATAGCAGCCAAAACAACTGCTCGTTACTAGCCATCCATCATCTCAGTTACCCAGGCCTGGCCCTGCCTTCTTTAGGAGCTTAGTATGGCATCGAGGGACTATTCACCAGCACTTTAGTTTACTTGCTTTACCCAACTTACTTATTAGGAACAGCTCCTAACACCAGGCCTCCATCCATGGCCGGTCACTGATTAACCCGACCTGGGCAGGGTGTCCAGGCTCTCCTTTGCCTTTCCCCAGCCAGCACCATGCTCTGAGCCCTCACCCACGTCCTTCCCGTCCTCCAGGGGCTCGTCTCTTGGCGGGGGGGGGTGGGTACGGGCACGGGCTTCAGGGCGTGCAGCCGCTGCTCCGCAGGGCAGGCAGTGCCAGTGCCTGCAGCAGCTCCCCCCGCACCCCCGGGCTCTCCGACCTGGCTGCAGGTGCCCTCAAGTCTTCTGCCCACAGCGTGGTCCCCCGGCCCTTGCCACAGATGCTGTGGTGATGTGCAGGAGCCCTTCCCTGCCTGCCCACCTCCAGCTGCCCCACTGTGCTCGGGGAGCAGCCCCGCTGCTGCCGGGATGCTCCGCAGCAGGCAGGGAGCTGGCTGGACAGGTTAGGAGGCGCACATCCATCTTTCCTCAGCTCCCCCTCCCCATGCCCCCAGTCAATATGTCTCTCTCCGATGGGAAAGTTAATAAATTTAGCTCTAGATTAAAAGTATCGATCATTTCATTTGTAAGCGATAACTGGGGCTGCAGCAGCCATGCAGCCCACTGGGGCTGGGGGCCCTCATATGCATTCTGCCCGGATGCTGGCATTGATTTGCTATTAGTCTCCCCGCACCACCCAGTAGCACATCATTCCCAGAGCCGCTATTAATGGCCTTTTGATAAATAATCACTTGTAAGTCAATAAATTTTTATTAAACAGTGTGGCGCTTTGATTTATGAAAATCCGACAGGGTTTGTCTGGGAGAAAAGGGATGCAGAATTGAAGCGGAGCTGCTATCCATCTGCCTGCCAGGCCGCCCTGCCTGCACTCGCACCCACACACCCTCGGAGCAGCCGGCCCCAAACTCTGCCGCACTCAGCGGGAGCCCTGCCTGAACATCCTAGGGCTGCCCAGCCCCAGGCAGGCCCCAGCCGAGGGGCACAAGGCGGGTTTGGGGCGGGCAGAGCTGGTGCTCGCTGTCGGCCAGGCTCACACACCCTGTTGAGCCCCCCGTGCTGGCGGGGGGGACCGCTCTGCAGCAAGCCCCAGCAGCCAGTGGCCAGTGCCGTCTGCGCAGGACGTGGGGCTGCGGGAGCAGTGGTGGGCAGAGTGGGCAGGAGAGGAGGGGGGTCCCGGCCACTGCCCCGGGGCCCTGTGCGGAGCAGTGCTGCTCGGGGACCCGTCCGGCTGCAGGGATGCACGGGGCAGTGAGGCTGTGGCTGCGATTTGTCACCCTCCCCAGCTGCAGCAGGCCCTTTGCCACCTGCTTTATTTGTCTCCCAGCCCTGACGTGGCATCGGACAGGTGTTAAACTACTTAATCACTTTAAAATTGTTTTAATTTTCTGTTTTGTATTGATCTCCACAGCACCAATTAATCAGCTCACTGGACCAGGCAGTTAGTACATTAAAAATTGTCAGCCACGCTGGGCAGCTTAGAAAATGTCAAAAAAATATCCCAACAGCAGGCCTGCACTTCTCCCACCGTGCAGAGCCTGCGCCTGCCGAGCACTGGCTCTGCCCACGACAGTGACATGGCTCTCCCAGCCCTGCCACCGAGCCGAGCCATGCGGGGCACGCAGCCTCGGCCCCAGTCCTGTGCACTGCGCTGCCCACGGGACCCGGCTTCCCACATCCTTGTGAAGGGCCCATCAGCTCTGCCACCCGCTGGCATTTGTCCCATGAAGGCAGCAAAGGGGCTGCATGGCCGAGGGGGAAGCTCACTGCGGAGCTGGACAGGGACCTATGGGGGGAGATCAGACTTCCCTAAGCCCTGGGAAAGTGTTGCTGAGCCATCAGGGCTCCTTGCAAAGCACCCCCAGCTCAGCACATGACAGAAAGCAACAGACTGGAGAGGCCTTGAAGCCAAATGGGGGCCTTGGGGCATGGGCAGATGGGTTGCATGGTGATGGTCTGCAGCCCCACACCACAGCTCCCCACCACAGGGCTGGTGCTTGGGGCCACTGCAAAGCCTCAGTGTTCTGGGGGCTTTGGCCATCCCCAGGGGTGGACTTGGCCACCGGCCTGTTCTTGGATGCTACCTGCAGCCGCAGGGGAGGGCAGCTTGGGTTGCAGCCCCCAGCACCCCCTCCACGCCTGTGCCATGCTGTTAATCAGTATATGATGAGCCGGCAGCACCTTATCTTTTATCGATTTCCTCCCAGGACACGGCCGGTCTGTTAGCTCACACCTGGCTGGCACTTAGCTGGCTCTCAGCTGAACAACCCCCAGCGGTGTGCCTGTGCCAGCAGGAGTCCCTTTGGCATCCTGAGCAGCTGGGGACAGACAGCCCTGTACAGCACCCACCACTGGCATGCAGGGGCCGAGCCATGGGGAGGCAGAAGAGGGGGCGAGCAGACCCACACGCACACACAGGGGGCGAGCAGACCCACACGCACACACACGTGCATGC